CAGCAGGAAGTAATAGGAGGTGCTTTGAAAGTTCCTCTTTGCTGGGTTCCTGCTGGGGATTAACTATTAATCCTTCCCCTCCCCTGTGTCCAAAGATCAGTGTTAGACACAAGGTCACAATCTCAAATGGAGGCCAAGATCTCATTGCCCCCCCCACCCCCCTCACCCCATCATCTTCGCTCTGGTAGCTGGGAGATGCTTGAGGGCTTAAAGCCTCTGCCAATGGCTGTCTCCCATGCCCATGTACAGAGGCAGGGACTGAAGCTAGTCCACGGGAAAGGGGAATACTATGGGGTAGGAAGGTGACCAGGGGTCCCAGGGCTGTGAGAGGTGGACACAGAGACATAGGCTGGAGACCCCCAGTACAGCTTTATTAATACCCCAAGCCAACCCAACAATCTTTCCCACCAGATGTGTGGGTTGTGGGGCCCAGAGCCCCTCAGTTATTTGTACTTAACATATAACCCAAGCTGACGGCTCCATGCTCCTGTTACTGGCCCCTCCGCCCCCACCCAGCTTTAGCCACTGCTCCCCGGGAGACATGGGGAGCTTCTGTCGCCATCTGGAGACCCCGGCAGGGGCTGGCCCATTCGATCCACACACCAACAGGGACCTCGGCGTTGTCCCTGGGAGGAGCGGCACTGGAGAGAGAGGCACACAGATCAGGGGAGAGGCTGGAAGGGACTCCCAATGCTGAGTAGGCAGCAACATCGGCAGTTCTTCCAGGTGAGACTAGGTTCCCTTCTCTTGGTTCCCCTTTTGCTTTCTTTCTCTTTCTTTCTTTCTTTTTTTTAAATAATGATTTATTTTATTTATCAATATTATTTCTTGACCAGAGATAGAAAGAGAGAGGGAAAGCAAGAAAGCAAGCCACTAGGCCCAAGACTTAAACCACAGTTGGTTACAAAGGGAGTCCAGCGCCTCAACCACCATGCCACCTGCCAGTCCTATTACTTTGTTTTAAATAATTATTTTTAGGGCCAGCCTGTGCCTGACAGATAAGGTGAGTGGATCCCATATGGCCCACTGTGTGGTTCGAGTTGTGGACCCGGCAGCTGAAAAACACACCGTGTGTGTGTGTGTGTGTGTGTGTGTGTGTGTGCCCAAAACCCCCAAAAAGAAGGAGACATAGAGGACAAGGAATTGCAGTGTGACCATCCCCCATGGGGAGTGTCCTCTCCCTTTCTCTCTCTCTGGTTCTCCTACAAGCACATGAGCCCTCTGGCAAAACCAAAAAATATAAATAAATAAATAATACATTTTAAGAGGTTTATTTATTTCTTCCATGAGAGGAGAGAGAGATTGTACCCCATCGGGGGTCCCCACATTGCGATCTACCTCCACCTTCCACCAGCCCTGCCTCACGGGCACAAGGCAGCCAGCGTACTCGGGCCCTCCCAGACATACACACAGGACCTTCCCATGGGGTCAGCCTTACAGAGGATCGCTGTGCCACCCTCTGGTCCTGTTTCCCTCTCCTCACCCACTAACTCGTGCCTACTGAGCTGGGCTTTGGTGGTCAGTTTTGAAAGTGTGGTTCCCAAGCCAATAGCACCAGGGAGCATGTTAGAAATGCACACTCTCGGCCCACCCGGACCTCCTGAACCGGAAGCGGCAGGTGGGCTGAGCCAGCTGTGCCTTCACAAGCCCTCCAGATGATTCTGACGCCTCGAGTTTGACAGCCGCTGCGTTAGTCCAACCCTGGGTACTTTAAGCCCTCTACTCCATATGGTTGGTATGGTATGGCTGGATACTCTCTGTGTGGATCCTAAAGATGGAAGATCCTCAAAGGCAGGGCAGTTTATACAACTTTGTAAGCCCCCCCCCCCCCCTCTTTCCATTTCTTGGGTGAC